GCACTGCAGAGGAAAACCACAGCACATCCTCTGAAAAGCAGTCCCAGAGAGAAGAGGGCACCACAGCCAGTCCCTCCTGGCAGGACATTGTCACGTGGCACCGATTTTATACAAAACTCTCTTTTCATCAAACTGCATATCCATGAGGTACTTTGGTGCATGGAAAACACACGGGCATCACAACAGAGAGAAGGAGTATTCTGTTTTAAAAGCCTCTTGACATTATCAGAAAATAGCCTTTGAGCTGTACAGACAAAGATGGAGCACCACCACGTGCAACTTCCATGCTTGATCTGTACCAAACCAATGGGAAAAGACAGTTATCTTGAGGGACAGGAGATAAGAGAAAGGTAAGCACAGGAAAAACAGCTGTTTTTTCCTCACAATATAAGGTAAAAGTGCTCCTAAATCATTTAAAGAGAGAAATGGATACACCAAGAAGGAATAGACTAAAACAGAGTAGAAAAACTTGATATTTCCCAGAAAGATTTGCACTTTCTTCTGACAGCCCCACTGCTACAACATCTCAGTTTCCTGAAATGGACCCATTGATTTGGTCCTACACTGCAGCCCAACAGCACCATTTCCTGTGCCCAAAGCACCACAACAGGCATCAATTTAAAGCCACCAGCATTAAGGCGAAAATTCATCTGCCTGTTAGATGTCCTTGTTCCCTGCTTGCTGTTTCTTGCATCACATCTTTTTTTTTTCCTCAGCTATCTCAAATTTTAAAGAATAAAAAGGAGTGTTTTTATGAGAGAGAGAGAGATCTTGCTAGACAGTCAGGATAAATCACTCCTTTTTGCGAGAGTGAGAATGTTCTCAGTGCTGCATCTGCTCCAGCTCTCTTGTTAGTGAGCACAGTTCCCTCTTGCAACTCTATTCAGTGCACGTGTCTCACTGGGCAGAGTTTACAGTCTCACCTTCCTGGAGACAAGACAGGAAAAATGAAGAGAAAACGTCCCCATTCTGGTTTTTGATTTCTTTGGGTTTTTTCCCCTAAACAAAAAGCACCCGATTTTCTCCAGCGGGAGCAGTGCTGGACACCAGTGACAGGATGCAGTGCCTGAGGACCAGCTATAGAGGGAGATACAGGAAGGCAAAAAAAGACAAGGAGAGCCAAGAATTGGCAGTGATGGCCTGAGTAGTGGTGGTGTCCGGTGGTGGAGACCCTGCCTGTCCTCAGTGCCCACACAGCACCCAACTGCCTTCAGCTGCAGACCCAGCTAGAAGTAAGTGGTCTTTGTGCACTCATTGACTTGGACACCATCCTTTCCTTTCACCTGTCCGTTCTCAGAGCTTCTGGTGCCACTTTCGCAGACCTAATGAAAGGAAGAAGGGTGTAAAATGGTGTAAAAGCTCAGAAAGATGTGCTGTGAGCTGATGGCAGCCGCCCCTGAGACAAGCAGCCTTCAGCAACCTGGATCCTTAATCCCGCCTTGTTCTCTGGGTGCCTGTGGACATCCTTCTCCCAGCAGGGCAACAAATTGCTTTGGAGTGCAGTTCCACCTGATTCCCATGGGAAATGGGGGTGGGAGTTATGAGAGGGTGAAGTCCAGAGGGCATGACAATGAGGCACCAGCCATTCCCTGAGGAGGGCAGAGCGAGGCAAGTGGAGCACCAGCCATTCTATCCCGTGGACAGGAACGAAGGGATAACAGCCATGGGCACGGTTATGGGGTCCCACTGCCTACCCTTCCACCACTGTAACCCCCCCAAGAACCTCCCATCCCACGCGATGTGCTGGCACCCCCTGTCCCCGCCCGAGAGGCAGCAGCAGGAACCCACCTCAGCCGGGGTTTGTCCATCCCCCGTGTCATCCGGCAGCTCCACGTCGCGGGTCTCAGGCAGCAGGACACAGAGCAGCCCCCCCAGCACGGGGGCACTCCCGAAGATGGCCATGGGGATGGCCCTGTGGAACTGCCCCAGGAGCCGGACCAGCGGGGCCAGGACCCCAGCCAGCCGCGCCGACATCGAGCACAGCCCCACGCCGGTCTGCCTGGGGAGCGAGGGGCAGAGGGGGGGCTGGGCAGGGACCAGCCTCCTCGGGCCACAGTGGGACTGAGCGTGGCCACGGGGGACAACCTGAGCCATCAGCACCACCAGCCATGGCAGAGGGAAGCCCCGGTGTGTGGGGAGACCTCACCTGACGACCGTGGGGAAGAGCTCTGCCGCGTAGACGTAGGAGGTGGAGAAGGAGGCTGAGGCAGCAAACTTGCCAATGGTGGCCAGGACAGTGGTTGCCAAGGGCTGGTCTGAGGGGAGGAGGAGATATGAGATGATATGAGATGAGGGAGGGCTCAGCACCGCTCACAGATGGCCATCGGGATGCACAGTGACAACTGTGTCACCTGCAGGGACCATCACCTCCGACAGTGCCTGAGCGTGGACTGAGCAGCTCTGGCCTAGTGGCACCTTCAGCACACTCTGCATCCATCATCTCACCTCCCCAGGTATTCATTTTCCCAGAGGACAGCTCTGCTGACAGGTGGCCTAGTGGGTTCAGCTCTACCCTCTGCTTTAATGATTGGCAAGCTCAGGTTTGCTGATTGGAATGGACCCTGGGGGATTAACCAAGTCCCAAATGGCCGTGGCACCAGGGACAGCTCAGGCCCTGAGGAATGTTATGCAGCCTGGCTGGGAGGACGGGACCTGCACCACCAAGGAAAGGGCTGGGGCTCTGTGGCTCCCTGTCCCAGAGAGTGCCCTCTCAGTAGGGAATGAGGCTGTTCACCTTCAGGGATGCCAGTGATGATCAGACACACCAGGCCACTCAGCAGCAGGAGAACAGTCTGGGTCTTCCTCCTCCCGAACCACTGCAGAATGAAGATACAACCAATACGGGCTGGGATTTCCACTGCTCCAAAGGCCAGCTGGGTCAGGTAGATGTCCAGGCCAAAATTTGTCACGTTCAGACTCAGCCCGTAGTAGACGAAGCTGTTCACAAACCTGAAATCAAGGCAGAGTTGCTCTGAGCACATCTATTAGCCATGAGAAAATGCAATATTGATCTCCAGTGACATTTTGACCAAGCCACAGCACTTCCAGGGGGATGTAAAACCAGAGGAATACCAAGGCACCACCAATGGTGGAAGTGCTATAACCTATCCCACAAACCACAAAGCGTCTTAAATAGCCAGAAAGAGAAACAACCATCAATAACACTCAAAAACCACAAGGTGAATGACTATCAATCCCTTCTTTTCTTCACCTTGAAGTATGGAAAGAGGGGAGCAGGGAATGTCTTACCAGGCACATGACATGATCAAAGTCACCTTCCGCAGGTGCCTCTTCCGAAAGAGATCCAGAAGACTTCCAGACT